GGTGACGTGAGTGCATGTTGTTGACATGTTCTCACCTCTGTCACTGAGGCTGCAGATGGAGTCCAGTTCTGAAATTGGGCTTCCTGTGGCGTCCAGCAGCAGCTTACTGGACATTCCCATACAGAGGGACTCCTTCAGACACAGCTCTGAGGGAGAGGAGACAAAATGCAATAAATGTAGAAGTCTGGTCTTTACATGTTGTTATCGGCAGCTGTGGCAAGAATCAAACTTTTTTTTGTTTCATTTTAACGTTAATTTTAATCAGTAAAGTTTGTTTGTCATGCAAACATTTCTTAAGTATTTATTTTTTTAATCTTCGATGCTTTAACTTTAGTCAAATTTAGTCAATTTTACGGAACATGTATGTCGTTAATGCTTAGCTGTCTAAATAATTCTTTGACAAAAAAAAGTTAAATCCAACACCATTTGCACATATCCAACTTAATCTCTATGAAACATAAGAGCAGCCTGATCTGAGCATGAGAAGCAGAAACTTGGTTGTACACATTTTAATACATTTTTTTCAGTAGAGCTTTTTAAGTGCGGAGGAAAAATGTCTGAATATATTTAAAAAGAAAAGTTAATCAGTGACTCACTGTGACAAAAACAGAAGAAAAAGCTAAATTTTTCATCAAACAAACCTGTTATTTTTAGTGTTTGGAACAATTTGACCCTATTATTAAAAGGATAAACATATAAAAACACTAGAAGAATATAAATTTCAGTCACAAATTACAAGAAAAAAGTGATTTATTTGCCTCCACATCAGTCGCCCTCTGGTGGTAATTAGACAGAATGCTGGGATAATAAACAGCAGTTTTGACTTCCTTGTTTTCAATGTCCTAATTACCCACAATGCAGCTTGAATGTAAAAAAAAGTTTATTTTCTGTGTAAAAACATCAAATTTTACTTAAAAGACTTCAGGCAGCTTGATTGAGTTTTTGTGAAAGAGTTTTAAAAACTACTTGGTATGAGTGTATCTCTGACGGAGCGGAGGAGAGCGTCTTGTTTCAGGACCTCGGGGGTTAAAGGCCACAGCGTACCTGTGTTGTTTATGGCATGTGTCCACAGCAGATGGGCGATGTCGTGAGTCCAAGCCTCCCGTCCCCCCCGGTCCTGAGCCTGCAGCGTGACGCAGTCTCTGGTTCGAGGAGCCTGCCGGACCCACACCTCAAACTTCACGCCCTCGTCGCCGACGCWCTGAGTCAGACCCATCTCCCCCATCTGAGGAGCAGTTTTGAGGCGTTATTGTGTCAGGTTTACAGAAAGAGGTGTTTTAGGGGAGCAGGAGGTCCTGCGTGTGTCACCTTGATGCTGTGTTTGTAGCTGTAGGCGGTGCGCCCCGGGCTGGGACTCTTCTGTTTGGTAAAGATGATGGCGTGCTGGTAGAGGAAAACGTTCCTGAGGCCCGCTCGCTTCCTGCGAGGCCCACCGCACACCGTGAGCTCACCCTGCCTCACCAGCTCGCCGCGCTCCGCCACTGGGATCTAAAAACACACAGGTTGTTAGAATTACAAAGAACTACAACAGTTCTATCCATATTTATGGATTAAGAGGCCATTTATGTGCAGAAAGTCATGTTTTAATTTGTCAAAATAAAACAGTAAAACACGTTGCTTTTAAGCCTAAGTAACAATATGAGTAAACTAGAACAACCAATGTCCAAAAAAATGTTAAAGCTGCTGCCATGGTRACCACACACACCTGCGTCTCACTCCCTGACAGCACCTCAGGTGACACTGATCTGGTCTGGGTCGGGAAAAATTGTATGGTGCACAATCAATCATCAGAAAAACTGGCACCAATTCATATTTTGTGATTTCYGTGAATAGYAATCAAGTATACRTGTGGTGGAAGATGGCACAGAGCTAACACTAACACTACAAACTTCTTTAATCACCTAAAACGTMCCCATAAAGAGGGGCAGGGCTGGCCAGTGGCATAGGCAGTGTAGGCAAGAGCTAAGGGCACTGTCCAGATAGGGGGCAAGACAAATCCTAAAAAATGATATATGATATATTTTTTTTACATCTTTTTATCAGTGTATTGTTGATTTAGTTGGTAGAATAATCACTGGTTACTCAGGTAACTCAGGAAAGTAAGTTGTTCTGTGGGTTTCTCAGCTGTATTTTACGCAATGCTTTATTCTATATATCATTTTTTTGTTTTTATTTTATATGTGTTACTACTACAGTTCAAATGTATGTGTGTGCTATTTAAATTGTGTTTCAACATTTTCTGCTTATGTTTAATTTGTGTTGTGGTTAATTTTTTTCTAATTAATTTATATAAACGCAAAAGCAGTATTGAGTGTATGCATGTGTAAATTACGTAATATGTGGAGCAAGGACTCAACATCAATAAACTCTCATCCAGCAAATGGTGGAAACAAATTTACTCAGCCAAGAATCAACAGTCAGACTGTGGCTGTTAAAATGAAGAAGTTGGTTTGACTGATGATTTGTAAATATACTTTTAGAGCACAGGGTAACTGATTCAAAACCACGCCAGTTCAATCATCATCTATTAATCATCATAATAATAGTTCTCAACTAATCCTGATTGTTTTTTTATTTTTTTATTTTTTGCCAACATTGACCAACATTACTATGGAAATTGTCAAAAACTGACTTTGTTGATCTACATTTATGTATTTCTACTCCTACATATTCTAACAAAAACATTGTAATACACGTGCTGGTCCACCTGATGGAATAAACTCACTCATTAATTTTTAATTTTAATAATATCCAGAGTGCTGTGGACGGGGCTTTAATTGGACATTTAGGCAGGAATGCAGACTATAAAGTAAGCTTCCACATTAAAAAAAAAGAAAAAAAAACATCAAATTGATTGTAACATGTTTTGGTAAAATCTCCAGAAATAACTAAACTTAAAGTTTAATTGTATTTAAAAAAAAAAAAAGTCCAACTTTCTGTGACCTGTATAATTTTGAATGATGTTTCTGGGTTTTCTCCACCATTTTGCTAAAATCCTCTTTTGTTCAAGTCGAAATGATTCAATTTCAAGTTTGTTTCTTTCATACACCATGCTGGTGTCACAACTATTAGCACTATTCTGGATCAAATCGTATATTTTAATATATTTTGTTGCATGGAGTTTGTCTAAAGCTGCAGGAGGTGCAAATCCAAGCTGTAATAAAAAAGGATTAATTATTTAACGTAACAGTGCTTCATGTAGTGGTAATGCATTGGCCACYTTTAAAAAAATGCTGAAAGAAGAGGGGAAAAACAGCACTTTCAAAAGGTCCTACTTTGCTGCTTTGTAGCACAAACTGTGGAGGGTCCTCCTACGGTTGTTGACACRTTTTATTAATTATCTGATGTGAGCTACAGTCTTTGCGTTTCAGAGTAAAAACCCGACCCTCCAAGCCCCCTTCAGCTTCTGAACTCTTCAGTTTGGAGCTCTGATGACATTTCATCTGTAAAGATTGAAAGGCCTTGTTCGCAGTTCAATAAAGTGAAGAACAAAGCAGTATTATTATTATTCCAGCGCTGTCTATAGAAGCAGACTCTCCCTTCACATAGATGKTTTTTTTTCTCTCTTGGATCTTTGCTCTAATTGGCCAGCTGAGTCATGTCTTTTGGGGGAAAAAAAAGTGACTTTATTGTTCTTGTCAATGACAGGGTTGAGACTATTTTGATACTGCTGGGACTCGTGACAAAAGGCAGACAGGCGCTCGTCGAGTCAAAAAGTCTATAGTGCTCCTGTAGGACTCCAGACTAGACTTAGAAAGGCAAAAACTAAACAATAGGAGCAACACAAAGCTGCCAGTTTCTCTGCTGAAATATACTGGCAACACTCTAATAACTATAGACTCTAAAAACTCCATATATGCTATATAAAACTCTACTGATGTGACAAGAGATGACCATGGTTATGGTACAAGAGAGGCTCCACATGGATTCTGAACACCCACATCCCGCCAACTCAAAGACATGTTCACCTGCACTTACAACCATTTTTACTTGGAGAGCTGTTTGAAGTGGAGGTGTTTGTGTAGTCATAATCTCTCCAAGTGGGTCTCTGTGTGTGTGTGTGTGTGTGTGTGTGTGTGTGTGTGTGTGTGTGTGTGTGTGTGTGTGTGTGTGTG